AAAAAAAAAAAAAAAAAAAAAAAAAAAAAAAAAAAAAAAAAAAAAAAAAAAAAAAAAAAAAAAAAAAAAGGAAGAAAAAAGAGATAAAGTAGTGATCTTGGTCCCTCTCTTGTCTTGTCCATCTCCTTCACTCTGTACTATTCCCATCCCACCTTCCCCCTCATGGACCCCATTTCAATCTTAAGAGACAGGGTCTCACCCTGTCACCCAGCCTGGACTATAGTGGCAGGATCACAGCTTGCTGGAGTCTCAACCTTCTGGGCTCAAATCATCCTACCGTCTCAGCCTCCCAAGTAGTTGGGAATCAGACATGCACCACCGTGCCTGGCTTTTGTTTGTTTTTTAATTTTTTAGTTGAAATGGGGTCTTGCTGTGTTGCACAGGCTGGCCTTGAGTTCCTGAGCTCAAGCAATCCTCCCTCCTCAGCCTCCCAAAGTGCTGGGATTACAACAAGTGTGAGCCACTGAGCCTGGCCCCATTTCAGTCTTTACGAAAGATGTCCGGTGAATGAGAGGAGCTTCAGTTATACATGCCAATTAGGGAAAGTGGCTTGGCTTTTCCTAAACCAGGTGGTCAAGTAAAATACCTTATTAACACCATCATGAAGCCCGATGAACTGACTGAGTTTCATTTTCCAGGCTCAGGTACATGCCAATTTGAAAGTAAACGTGGCTCGGAGTGGGAATTCTGCTCTCGCGCAGGATCTGCCTCACCCAGGTATGATATGACTCCCTCAGCCCTTGCAGACCCGTCCAGGTGGGACTGGAGGGGCTGTTAGTGAGACACAGCTAGATTTGCTGCCATGAGCTCCCATTTAAATAGGGCAATAATGTTTCAGAAACACGTGATGAAGTCAAGTAACACCCAATTCAAGGTAAACTGACTTAAAGTTTATTTGCTTTAATTCCACACATTAGTATACTGCAGTATACTAACTGGGACCTATACAGATGAAAATGTCCCCAGTTCCTCCCCTAATGTGTGGTACTTCCGCAAGCACTTTGCAGGCATTTCCAACACTTGGAGGTACTGTGCTGCTATCCTAGCTTCGAAACTGACATTTGTTTGTTTTAGTGGGGCTCCTGCTGCTCATCAGGCAGACACTTGTGGGCTTTAAAACAGGTTGTTGCTCTGACCTTTGCTTCTGCTGCACACCATGCAATTGTGGTTACGGTTTTCTTCAGTCAATTGAGGAATTCCCCCCTCCCCCATTCTTGGCCCCTTAGGCAGTTAGCCACTCACTCACAGTAATCCTTGCTCCTTTATAATTTAAACACTGACTTCACAGAATGGCTAATTTGCAGTCAGTGGTCAATTGTGTCTCTGCATGTTGTCTAGGCTCCCGTGCTATGTATCTGATTATCTTTGATTTTAATCAATTTTTTTAAAGTTTCAATTAAAGAAAACAAAATTTTTTTTAATACAGAGAGGGTCTCGCACTGTTGCCCAGGCTGGTGTGCAGAGGTACGATGATAGCTCACTGCAGCCTCCACTTCTTGGGCTCAAGCAATCCTCCTGCCTTGGCCTCCAGCAATCCTCCTGCCTTGGCCTCCCAAAGCAGTGGGATTACAGGCATGAGCCACCACACCTGGCCTGGTTATCTTTGATTATGTTGCAGACTGTATATTTGAAAATTTTCTGTAGAAGTAATTTGAGCCTGAAAGAACGTCGTCTATCTTCAGAGAGGATTTTCTTTTGTTGGACACTGGGGGTGACCAGCAGTCTAGGGCAGTCTTGGAAATGGGAGTTTTCTGGAGCACCCAGCTGACCTGAGGTGTGCTGCAGCCAGTGTGAGGCCTGGTTTACTTTTTCTGGTTCATCCTTTTTCTTTCTGAGGAGTCTTGCATTGTCCCAGGCTGCAGCGCAGTGGTGCAATCTCAGCTCACTGCAACCTCCACCTCCCGGGTTCAAGCGATTCTCCTGCTGCCTCAGCCTCCTGAGTAGCTGGAAGTGCAGTGGGATGATTCTGGCTCACTGCAACCTCAGCCCCCTGGGTTCAAGTGATTCTCGTGCCTCAGCCTCCCAAGTAGCTGGGATTACAGGTGTGTGCCACCACACCTGGCTACTTTTTGTATTTTTAGTAAAGACAGCATTTCACCATGTTGGCCAGGCTGGTCTCAAACTCCTGACCTCAAGTGATCCACCCTTCTTGGCCTCCCAAAGTGCTGGGATTACAGGCACCAGCCACTGCGCCCGGCCTGGTTCATCCTTCATTCTTGGATGTAGCCCTTCAGGGTTCCAAGCTCAACTACAGAGAGGTTTGCCAGGGCCTGATTCTTGGTAGGTACCCAAGTCCCCAAAGCCCTGCTCAATGTCTCAGTCATGTGGTCGGGGTGCAGATCTGTCTGACCTGCATCCTCTGATCTCTCTGATCTGAATGAACTCTCTGATCTGAAGCAGTCCCAGAGGCTGGGCGGCCCCTCTGGGCTCCTTCGTCTCTTGGATCTTGCCCTGGTGACTCCTCATTACATTGTTTGCATTCTGATGCCTTCAAGATGATATTTAATTTGTTTTATTCAGATTCGACAATGATCTTCAGGCAAGGGTTGGCCCATGTTTTCCTGGATCAACATCTGTTGCCAGTTTCCCCGGTTCGTGAAATCCACATAACAATAGCACTTGTGTGTTTTTTTATTGTTTTTTTGTTGTTTTGTTTTGAGACAAGTCTCACTCTGTTGTCCAGGCTGGAGTGCAGTGATGCAGTCTCGGCTCACTGCAACCTCTGCCTCCCACGGTTAAATGATTCTCCTGCCTCAGCCTCCCAAATAGCTGGGATTACAGGCGTGCATCACCACGCCTGGCTAATGTTTGTATTTTTAGTAAAGACAGGGTTTCACCACATTGGCCAGGCCTGTCTTGAACTCCTGACCTCAAGTGATCCGCCTGCCTCGGAAAGTACTGGGATTACAGATGTGAGCCACCTTACCCGGCCGAACAATGACACTTACTTCATACAACAGACATTAGGGTTGAGGAGCACCCAGAACTGTCCGACCAAGGCAAGCAATTTATTAAGTGTGAGCTGGTACAGTTCTGTTCAAAATGATTTTCTTTTTCTTTTCTTTCTTTTCTGAGACAGGGTCTTTCTCTGTTGCCCAGGCTGGACTGCAGTGGTGTGATCATGATTCACTGCAGCCTTGACTTCCTGGGCTCAAGCGATCTGCCCGTCTTAGCCTCCCAAAGTTCTGGGATTAGAGGCATGAGCCACTGTACCCCGCCCCATATGATTTTCTTTCAGAACTATGAGGATGTTGCTATATTCCTAACATCCACCCACTTATGCTCAGTGGGAAGTGGGATGGCCAATCTTATTCAATTGCTTACTGAATTAATTTCTCTCAGTATTCCTTTTATGCATAGCCCTTTGTACAAAGGAAAAAAAAAAAATCCCTTGTAAGCTACTAAATTACTTTTTCCTCCCAGGGTGCCCTGAAAACCATGAAGGAATTTTAATGAACGATGCTGAAAAGACAGGCGAGAGTCAGTCGGATCAGCAGATGCACCAAGCACAACCTCCGCCCGTCCATCCACGGGACAGCGCGAAGTTGTCCAGGAAACAGCTGGTGCTGCGGCGAGGCCTTCTGCTTCTGGGGGTCTTCTTAATCTTGCTGGTGGGGATTTTAGTGAGATTATATGTCAGAATTCAGTGATGTCGCAGCAGGCAAAGTCAGGTCAAGTGGGGATGCTTTTGAGCTTACACACAGATACAGGCCCACCAGTGACAATTTCCTTTCAGTTAATGTCATTCAGGTGCGCTCATGGATTTCGAAGATTTGGAATGCAAAGATACATTTAAAAAAAAAAAAAAAGCAAGGAACTAAGGTGACAAGCTGTATTCTGGCCCAAGACAGTGTCTGAAAGATACATGAGTAACTATTCATCCACGATTATCTGAAGCAAGGACCACTGTGCTAACTGCATTGGCCTACGGCTTTAGACACAAACCCATAAAACTAAGAATTCCTACTGCCTGAATTATTTAAAATATATTTTACAGTATATCTTTCCTTAGGCCTTAGATTACTATTCGCTGGGCAAATGGCATTTGTTCTGGTTTATTATTATTTTTTAATAGACAGAGGTCTTGCTCTATCACGCAGGCTGGCGTGCAGTGGTGTCATCATCGCTCACTGCAGCCTCCACCTCCTGGGCTCCAAGCAGTCCTCCTGCATCAGCCACCAGAGTAACTGCGCCTACAGGGGTATGCCACTATGCCCAGCTGGCATTTGTTAATCTTCATTTGAGGTCTAAATCTAGGCCCCGTGGGCACTGAAAAACAGTTGAGTAATCTTTGGAGCTGTGGAAATCCAAACAAGGACTAATAATTCCTAGTAGGGGTGTGTGCCTGACCTCCCGCAGCCTCAACCTCCTGGGCTCAAGTGATCCTCCCACCTCAGCCTCCTGAGTAGCTGAGACCACAGGCGTGTGCCACCATGCCTAGCTAATTTTTTATTTTTTGTAGAGACGGGGTCTAGCCTTTTGTTTCCCAGGCTGGTCTCCAATTCCTGGGATCAAGCAATCCTTCCATCTTGCCCTCCCAAAGTGTTGGGATTATAGGCGTGAGCCACCACGCCTAGCCAGAGGACAAAATTTTAATACAGGCTTTAGCGTAAGTAGTAATCCTACTGCCTTAAGGCTTCCTGGGGTGCGGTCCACACCGTTAATTCAGCAAGCCTCAGGACATACTAAGTAAATGCAGTGCTGTGACAGTGGGTCATACCAAACTGAGTCATTCTTGTCACACCCAACTGTAAGTCAGGAAGCAGGGGATAAAAGCACCCCGGGCACATAACATTAATCTAGTAACGTAATTTTCCTCACATCCAGCTGCTGAAACTGCCTGCTGTAAGCTGAGACCAGCTTTACCCATAACCGCCGAGATAATTGCTGAAGCTCTAGGACTAATTTTGCCTGCCCGGTTGCTTACCAATTGTAGCTGGCCAGCTCCCAGGACCCTTCCTGGTGCCAATCAACTTTCTCAAATAGCAATACTGACATTTGTTTTGATGAAACCTCCAGCCTTCTCTGTGTTGCTAGGACATACCGAGGACCACCTGGTCTGCATGGATGCCCTGAACTGCAATTCTTTCTTCCCAAATAAAACACTAAATCGAGATGTGCCTGCACATTTTTCACATAATGCTCTAGACACGGCGTTTTCCTGAAATAACAAAAAAGTTACCTACTTTGAGTAAAAAAACACCCAACTGCTGATTTTGGTTGGGGTAACCTTCAGGTTACCTCTCTACCCTCCGTGCCTTGTTCTTGGGGCAATGTGGCCCATTCTCCAGGGAGGCAGATAAAGGCTTGCACTGTGGCCCTCGGGGCTGGGCCTGGGGGCAGAGGTCCCCCCACCCAGCACCCCCTGCCATTCCCCTTGCCAGGTTGGGGAGGAACCCCTGGGGATGAGAGGAGATTCCTTTAACCATCAGCCACAGCAGTCGCTGGCAGGAGACCACTCAGGACGCCAGGAGCAGGAAAGTTGGGGTCCCAGCCAGCCAGGACCCCTCCTCTCCCGGAAATACCTGAACTGGCCTCAAGCCCAGGCCAGGAGAAGCATCTCAGAAAGTGCCAGACCCGAGCTCGGCGGGGGAGGATGGAATTACCAGCTCCGTCCTGTCTGCCCACCCCCAAGGCATTTTGCTCTTCCAACCAGACTGCACTCTCCTGATAAAAACTCCTGTCATACAAAAGCACACAAGGGGTCCTTCCCCGCATGGACCCCTTTCACAAGCCCCCTTCATCAGCCCCCAAGTGCCCTCCTGACCCCCTGCCTCCTCCCGGCCCCCTCCCCCAGGGTTCTGCGGGCAGACAGTGGCCCTGGGGGTCCGGCTCGGGTCCGGGCGGGAGGTGCGGGGTTGGGTGGGGCCGGACCGCCCCCGCTGTCCCCGCCCTGCGGTCCCATACCGGCGTCACCGCTCCGTGCGCCCGCATGGAGGCACCCGTGGCCGCGGACGCCCCCCGTCCCCGCTGAGCTCCCCGCGGCCGCCCCCCAGCGGCCTCGGGCCCCGGGCTGGAGCCACCGTCTGCGGTGTCTGCGGGGCGCGCTGCCCCCAGACCTGCGGCGGGAGGCGGCCGACCTGGCGCGGGTCGCAGGCCCGGTGGTGAGTGCGGCGTCCGGAGCAGCCGCCGCACTGTGGGGGTTGGGGGGTATGGGGGTATGGGGGGCCGGGGGGCGGCGGGGGCGGGGGCGCGGGCTTCGGGCGGGAGGGTGGCTGTGAACGCGCCTTGCTTTCCGCGCCTCCGCAGCTTCTTGCACAGTTGGTGATCTTTCTCGTCAGCCTCCTCAGCTCCATCTTCTGTGGACATGTGGACAAGGTAGAGCTGGACGCTGTCACGCTCGCGGCCACGGTGGGTGCCTGATTTCGCCTCTGTAGGAGATGACGGGCGGCCAAGGTTTAGGATTTGAGCGGGGTCCGCGGGCGCTGTGGCTCACGACTGTAGTCCCAGTGCTTTGGGAGGCTCCAGGCGGGAGGATCGCTTGAGCTCACGAGTTCGAGGCCAGCCTGCGCAGCATAGCAAGACCCCCCCCCACCCCCCGTCTCTACTAAAAATACAAAAATTAATCCGGCGTGGTGGCACCGCCTGTGGTCCCAGCTACTCAGGAGGCTGGGTCGGGAGGGTCGCTTGAGCCCAGAAGATCTGAGACTGCAGTGAGCTGAGATTGCACCCTGCACTCCAGCCTGGGCGACAGAGCAAGATCCTGCCTCAAAAACAAACACTCAGGGCCGGGCACAGTGGCTCACGCATCTAATCCCAGCCAGCACTTTGGGAGGCCAAAGTGGGCAGATCACCTGAGGTCAGGAGTTCGAGACCAGTCTGGCCAACATGGTGAAACCCTGTCTCTGCCAAAAA